GGTTTTTAACTCACCGTCGCTCTAGACATGACTAGTCGATCACAGGACAGCCTCGACACATGAGCCGGCGTCCTTAATTAAAGGTTTTTTAAACTCACCGTCGCTCTAGACATGACGAGTCGATCACAGAACAGCCTCCACATGAGCCGGTGTCCTTAAATAAAGGTTTTTTAAACTCACCGTCGCTCTAGACATGACGGGTCGATCACGGCACAACGGTAAGCGAAAATAACTCATTACCAACTAGAACTGCATGATCCTCACTCAAGCGGTGTCAACTCGCACTCGTGGGATGGAACAGCCTCCACATGAGCCGGTGTCCTTAAATAGGGTTTTTAATTCACCGCCGCTCTTGACATGACGAGTCGAACACTAAGATGACAGCCTCCATCCAACGGTGCTGCGTTGATGCTGGCGCACACAGCTGCGGGCGCTAACCAGCTCACATCGGTATAAATGTGGTCCGCAGGCTGGTCCGGGTGGGGGTCCTTCTCTCTCAGCTTTCGGCAGCTCACCGCAGCTTAAACGTGAAGCAGCCGAAGAACCCGGTAATGAGTCCCACCTCCCTCCAGCGCGCGCCCCTCCAACGAGAGCGGCGCGCGTCCCTCCAGAGAACAACGTGTGCTCCCGCGGGGCTAAGCAGCCTTCACTCCAACAGCACGGTGTAAATGAAGTCACGCCCTCCGCCTTTCAACGTTCGCACAGCGACGTCAAACGCGCAGCTCACCGCGTCATCAGCTGTCACACGCTTCGCCTTCAGCTCAAGTCTCGCCCGGGGTCACACAGAAAACATTCCCGCGACGCATGACGGCGGTTGAGGGACGGACTGCTGACAGCCGTACAAAACATGACGCATCATTAACGCACGTTCATCCACGAACGTTACGTAGAGTGGCTAAAACATGCTCGCCGTTTTTCAGATGGATGGACAGGGTTTATGCAAATGGTACAAGTTACAGTTTGCAACCCGAACCCCTCCATTCAGAGGAGTTATATAAACGGTCCCGTCATCATCAGACTGATTCTCTTCCCTAAATGCAGAAATCCAAGTGTTTTCTGATAAAAGTAATCTACAGAGTTCCCCAAGGGAGAGAAAACACGAGGGTTTTACTCACGGATCGGAGGGGTGAGACCGTTCTTGGATCTGTTGTTTAACATCCAGAGAACGCATACCGATCATCCTAAAACACAGAGACGAGAGTTTTTTGTTTTACCTGGATGATCTGCGGATCCTGTCACTTCAGACAGGAGGCGCTGATGCAGGATCAGGTGTTGACATCACACCTGTTAATCTGGGCTTCGCCATAAAGTGGAAGGAAGCTCGATTTTCCCGGCCCAGACATTTGTTTTCTGGAGTGGAATTAAATTCAACCACCATGAAAACTCGTTTATCACATGAGACGCCTCTAGAGGTGTTTTTGCACGTCTGCATGTGGATCCAGTAAAACAAACGACGGATGATCATTGTCTTTTCCTCTGTGGAAGCAGACCTCCGACTCTGGGGAAACACCTTGTTTTTCTATCAGAGGGAGTCCCCCTCAGCAGACCCACGTCATGGGTCAGTCTTCACGGACACGTTGCTGTCAGGCTGGGGGGGGGACATGCCTATCTCAAGCAGTAGGGGCGCTGTGGCCCCACTACACATCAGCCCACATCAATGTTTTGGAGTGTCGCACAGTACTGAATGTGATTCAACACCTTGCTCCTGTGCTACAGAATCAACACGTGTTGATTCACACAGACATCATGATGACTGCTGCGTACATAACCATCAGGGTGTGCGTTCAGCCCAGATGTTACACATTGTGCGAAAGCTACTGAGTTGGGTTCATCAAAACCTGCTTTTATTAGAGCGGTTTACATATCCGGTGTTCTGAACAGAGGGGCTGATGTGACGTCCAAGGGCGGCCCACGTTACGTGGACCGGATCCTCCATCCGGATCTGATGTTTTCAGACGCAGCAGAAGTTGGCAAAGCAGCTGTGGACCTGTTTGCGATGCGAGAAGAACGCTCAATGTCAACTACGGTTTTCCCTGAGCCCGCGAGACGATCCATCGCTGGGGGGGGACGCATTTGCTCACAGTCGGTGGCCCAAAACGCTTTTTACGCGTTTCTTTTCCCCCACCTCCTCTGTTTTTTACGGTCCATGAACCGAGTTCAAGAGGAGGGATTGACAGCTCTCCTGGTGGCTCCCGGCGTGTGAACGCACTATGGTTCCCAGGCCTGCAACGTCTGTTGTTGGGTCGCCGTGGAACTGTCATGGAGGAAGGATGCTCTCCTTCAGGCAGGAGGAGCGACCAAGAGTTACCCAGAAATAGGTCAACACCGGTGGGTCTGACCGCTGAGCGGTTCCACTTAGAGGATGGGTCTCCCTCAGGAGATAGTGTGCACAATTCAAGATTCACGTGCTGCATCTACCACAGTTCTGTACACATCAAGGGGACGGCTTTTCAGCGCTGGTGTACAGAGAAGGTTTAGAGACCACTTCATGCCTTTTAGGCGGCGTGTTGTTTTTCTACAACAGCTGATGGATAGGGAGTTGGCTTTCAGTACGCTTTAACGTACGATTGCAGCCATCTCTTCCTGCCACAAAGGGTTTGGAGACAGAACAGCTTTTATCACCCGCTGATGAAGCGGTTTCTAAAAGGTGTACAGAGATGTAGGCCTGTTTCACGCCCACTTGTTCCACAGTGGGTTTAACGCTGGTCCTGTGAGCCCTGATCAAAGCTTCAATTGAGCCTCTGGATCAGGTTTCATTTAAATTCTTGTCTCTTTTAACAGCCCTGTTGCTGGTTTTAACACCCGCTAAGAGGGTAAGTATTTATCTGCCCTCTCTGTTGCTTCGTCATGCCTTAGAATTAGGCTGACGGGCAGCTCAGCTGATTTAAGACCAACCCAGCTTTTATGCCTAAAACATCACGAGCTCTTTTAAATCAAGAGTGATATCGTTGGAGGGGTTTTTTCCCCCCCACAGATCAGAAGGGGAAGCATCTGTTCATCTTCTCTGCCCGGTGCAGGCGTTGACGTGTTACGTAACGCGCACAGCTGCAATGCGTTCAAATTCAACAATTGTTTGTGCATTATAGAGATGCTTCTGCAGGTCACCGTTATCCATCCAGCGCTTGTCACACTGGCTGTGTGAGGCCTTTTCTGAAGCCTACAGAGCATCAGATTTAGGGCCTCCTGTCAACCTCTAAGCACATTCGACCAGGGGTATCGCATCTTCGACTGCTCTGCTTAATGGTATGTCAATGCAGGACATTTGCACTGCGGCTGCATGGTCAACACCCTGCTCATTTATTCGCTTTTACCTACGTGATGTAACGGCTCGTTCCATGACACATTCTGTCCTTAGTGCTCTAACAGAATGAATATTGTTGTTCTCATGGAACTCTGTTTAAGCTCACTTCTGTCTGCATGCATTACAGTGTGAGATGTTGTTATCAGTCACAGTCGTGTCTGTGTTTCTGGTTCTATTGTCACTAATCAGTTCATGATTATTGTTACCAATCAGTTCATTTGATTATTTATCAATTCATGGACATTAATCTGTTTATACTGTTCAGCCATGAACCAGTTGGTTCATGCCCACCTCCCCCCCTCTTTTCAACTTCCTCTTCCCGTTGAAAGTTTTTCCGGGGTATTCATGCTTGTCAGAACGCATAGTTACACAACATGCGTCTGTGCATGGCACATAATTACGCGATGCGTAGTTTATGCACACGGGGAGCTGGGTGACAAGACGTTTTTTGGGCAAGCTTCCGCTTCTTACTGTGTTCGAATGGACCCAGTGAGGCGAGGACCACATCTGCTTCGCCCTTAACCCATCAGCGACAGCCTTAAAGGGCGAAGCCTATATGAAATAGAACGTTGGTTACGTACTGTAACCCCAGATTCTATGAATATAGGCGTAGCCCTTTAAGCGTCGGGCCTCACTGGCTCCTAAATGGCTGAAGAAAAAAGCTATTTTGGGAGCCGATTTCCCGCTCTTAACGTAATTTATACGGACCGGGTGGGGCCCACACAGCAGGTGGGCGTGGACTAATTTTTTTCAGTGCTTATGCTCTGCATAACGGGATAAACCCATCAGCGACAGCCTTAAAGGGCTACGCCTATATTCATAGAATCTGGGGTTACAGTACGTAACCAACGTTTGTAAGGTTGAGTGATGGTCTGCAGCTCCTGGGTCTCGTCAGAGCACAATTTAAAGTCCGACTGATGCAGCAAACAAACACGAGCAAACGTTTATTTTTAAATATTACCCCACATTCCCTCAGCTTTTCACATCCTGAGCACTGCTGCTAATAAGCTCATGATATTTTTGCACAGGGGCTCAGGCACTTGAAATCATCTCGCAGCTGGGTCTCGCTCATCTCCTCCCCCCTCCCACATTTGTGCTATTTTCTTTATTCCCTCTATAGTTTAACTTAAATTCCTCAAATATCTATAAAGTATTCCCTTTTCCTCCTACGCTCAAACACTGTAAACACACTTGCGCTTATGAGGAAACGGAGACATGCACGGGCCAGAGCCACATCGTCCACCCTTTTCCTCCCCCTCAAGAGGTCACATGACTAAACACTTGCATCCCATCACCTCTCACCACCCCTGATCCTGTCTTTTCCTTTCTTTTTACTTTATCTCACTCAGCAGGAATCTGCGTCCTCGGCTAGAGTTGGGAGGAGACGTTTGGCAGGAGATGTTGGACAAAACAAAAGGAAAAAAGAGAGCGAGAAGGAAAGTATTTTGTACGAATCATAGAAGCAGACTGAGTGCCAGTCGTTCGCTCCTCTCCCCTTGACTCTCATCACCTCCCAACGCTGCGTGGAGGTCCACTCCAATGACAGACGAGGAACTGTGGAGGGTTGGGCTTGAAGAGGCCCCTCCAAACATTTTCACCACCTCCTCCCCCTTTTGATGGCATTTAATTCTTCCTACAACCCCATTAACGCATTCAAGCAGTAAAATCTACTGTGCGAGTGTGTTAACTCCGTCGTCACCTTCAGTGAAAGGCTCCCAGTTATAGAGGCGACCCATGAACTCCTGGGAGTCGAAGGCCGCGCACTGCTCCGCTCTGGAGTCCGACGCAGCTCCTCCGCACACCTGGAGGGCAAAACAAAAACAAAGACACAAACAGGAAAGTTTAAAGTTCGTCCAAACACTAAAACCAATCAGAACTCAATCGAAGGTTGTTTCGCCGAGCCCCCGGAGAAGTCAGGGCGGAGTGCAGCGAGAAGAAGGCACAAAAAAAATAAAATTATAATGAAGAGGGAGAAATGAAGGCTGGCACAAACACACCTCGACTCTCCACATAAACTCACACACACGTGCTGCTTTGGGCAGCAGCGGGCCTGCAAGGACCATATGGAAATAATCAGACTTTTTTATTTTTTTTTATTTTTTGGAAGCGGCTGTTCACATAAATTTGCTGCTACTTTCAATGAATGCGAGTGACTGTGTGCGCACGTGCACAGGCATGTGCACGTGTGGGTAAGCAGAGCTCGTTCAAGAGGATTTCCTTCTTCTGCATACCTGAATATAAACACCAGCCGAAACTTTAGACTTTCATCCTGTTCTTTTTTTTTTTTGGAGTAAATATCGCCTTAAATTATAGCGAATGTGCAATTTTTAATAAAACTTTTATTGAATTACAAAAAGCAAATAAGGAGCAACAAAAATACAGATAACTTAAGGTCTATATAAAATGAAAACCCTTTTTTTGTTAAACCTTTATAACATTATGTGTACATGGATTCATTCAACCTTTATTTATACAGGTTAGTCTCACTGAGCCTCAAGGACTCGTTTACAAGAGAGACCTGATTTAAACAAAGAACACAGACAACAATAGAACAATCATGTAAAATGCATATAAAAAGTATGTGATCCATAAGATCTTGCATGTTTTTCGAACTTTGAGTGTGTGTTGAGAATGATGCTCAGCTACACCAAATTATAGCCCAATATCTATAAAGGGGCAATTTATCGTTTTCAGCATAAAGCATGCAAAATGTTACGGTGTGTGTGTGTGTTGCTTTTCACAATAAGATATTCTCTGTTTTTAATACGCCCTGAATGACCAACATCTTGCTATTCTCCCGAATGGTAAATATTGAGCTCATTCAAAACACAGTTCAGCGAAGTGGCTCCACAGACCAGTCCTTTCTCCAACGGTTCATAATTCACAGGTGAAGCGTCCACGTCCCGCTGAGAGGTGAGCTTTCAGAAATGGAATAAGTCAAACAGAACTGTTTTTTGTGAGATTATTTTAATACCATTTTATTTTCACTTGTTATACTCAATTTGTATGCATCCTTTATGATTGTCTATTGTTGTCATCACTCTTTGTTAAAACCAGGTCTCTCTTGTAAATGAGTCTCCGAGGGTCAATGGGATTAACCTGTATAAATAAAGATTAAATGAATGAATGAATGAATGAATGAGAACCAAAAGAGGCAGAGCAATTCTCTGCTGAGCTGAAGCGTAACACGACGTAATCAAAGTGTGTTGGACGTCTCCCTCGTGTCATTTGCTAGAATGAATTAACTCACTTTAGCCGTCCTCTTTATGGTTAACTAATTTTATAAACTAACTCCAAAGTTGCTGTGAGTCATCATTAATATTCCCCTGGTAATAAAACTGATGTTTAATCCCGCAAGCCGGCAAACACAACTATCAGTTCACATTACTGAGCTGCAACTCTAGAGTTATTCCTTTTTCTTCACATGTCGGCAGCACAGCCATCAGAGCATCCCAAACACACGGTGTGCACATGCATGCACACAGCCGCCACTGATCCCGCTCACTTCCCTGCGCCGCAGGAGAGCGAGCACCGCCAAAGGAGCGCACTGCCTTTTGAGCGTCTCCGTGAGACTTGTGTTACTGCTAATTTAATTCTTATAATTAAACATTATTAACACAAAAATAAAGACGAAACGGTAAGAAATAAAGTAAAGTAAGAAACAGTGTGGGATACAAAGCTTGCTGGGTAGTCTTGTGGAAATGATGTGTGCAATTTTTCTGACTGTTTATGATGTTTATGAGTGTGGAAATGGGTTGTTCTCGTTAATGTCCCGCTCAGATTTGGTTGGACAGTTATGTTGAGGTCTCGGTTATTGGCTGTAAACTGACACGAGTCCGAGGTTGTTCCCAGTATGTACATATAAAGGGGAAAGTGCTGAGATGGCGAAAGCGAATACCGTTACTTAGGGGTATCACTCGAGTGCGATTTTGTGGTGATGTTATTGTCAGCTTAGCATAGCATTGTTTCGTGAGAGTTAACATTTTTCTGCACACTTTTTTTTTTATTTAGGCTCGTAAAAATGATAAAATTGTAAACGACCCCTAAAATTGTCTGCTTGTAGCCATTTGTTGTTTTAAGGTTGATTAGCTGAAATGGTTTTCTTAAATTGGATTAACTTCAAATGGTATCTAGATGAACATCCAATGATTACATCCTGCAGGTTTTATTCAAATCCATCCTCTGGTTGATGAGATAGTTTGCCAACAGACAGACAAGGTTGACTTTAACATTTAATGTGAAAGTTTTTAACAAAGATCCTGCACTATCTTTGAGTGCTCAAAATGTGTCAGGGATGGCTCTCAGCTACTACTACATCAAATTCTAGTTCAACATCTGTAAAATTGACTGAACTGGTGTTATTTTTGTGTTCAGTAGGATCTACTAGTTGTGGCAGCCATCTTGAATCAGTTTAATTCCAAAAGTTCATCAGGTGTAGATGTACACTCAAGAATTACTTTCAAGAGTTTTAATAAAATTCATCCAGTAGTTCATGAGATATTTTGCTAATAGACACACAAACACAGGCAGTAACTGGTATATTATCTTTCCACCTTTCAGTGGGGCACAGTAAAAAAAACAATGCCTCCAAAATTTTCTGATTTACAAATACATTTCCTGGCCAAAAAAAAGTCGCCACCTGGATTTAACCAAGCAAATAGGTTCAAGCCTCCTGTTGGATAATTACAGCATGGGCAATTATCTTTCAGCTGGCAACAAGTTATTTAACTCCACTGGTGCAATGAGTTGCTTCACATTTCTTAAACAACCATGTTGAAAGACACATCGTGTGTTCGTGGAAAAAATGTCAGTCTGATTGAGAAGGGTCAAATCATTGGCATGCATCAAGCAGAGAAAACAACTAAGGAGATTGAAGAAACTGTTAAAATTGGGCAAAGAACTGTCCAACGCATTATTAAAAACTGGAAGGATAGTGGGGATTCATCGTCTTCGAGGAAGAAATGTTGCCAGAAAAAAATCGTGAATGATCGTGATCGGCGATCAGTTGAACGTTTGGTGAAATCAAAGAAAAACAACAGTAGCACTCAGGGCTATGTTTAATAGTGAAAGTAAGAGCATTTCCACACACACATGTGAAGGGAACTCAAGGAATTGGGACTGAACAGCTGTGTAGCCTTAAGAAAACCACTAATCAGTGAGGCTAACTGGAAAAAAGGCTTCAGTTTGCTCGGGAGCAAAAAGATTGGACTCTGGAGCAATGGAAGAAGGTCATGTGGTCTGATGAGTCCAGATTTACTCTCTTCCAGAGTGATGGGTGCATCAGGGTAAGAAGAGAGGCAGGTGAAGTGCCTAGTGCCTAGTCATCAATGCAAGATCTTGGTGAAAAATTAATGCAACACTGGATGGAAATAGATCTTGTGACATTGCAGAAGCTTATCAAAACAACACCACAGTGAATGCATGACGTCATCAAAGCTAAAGGCAGTTCAACGGAATATTAGTGTGTGACCTTTTTTTTTGGTGGCGACTTTTTTTTTGACCAGACTGTGTTTGTCTTCGAGTCGTTAAAAAATCCTTCTAAGATTTATTGCTCCTTTAAATTCCTTTAAATTAATCAGATTATTTTGTTTAAAACAATGTCCCCACAGAGGGGTAAAAAGGGTTAGGAGGCTTAGAATGGATCAAACTGTAAATCTATGAGAGTATGTAAAGCACAGACTCAGGATTTTCTAAGATATTCTGAACTACAAGATCTGGGTCAGTTTGGGAAACCAGTACTGAGCAACAATTCAAACAACAGCAAAAATGGAACAGAAAAAAACCGTTTAATTCAGCAATATTAGTTGCCGTTTTACCACCTTTAGCTTGTTCCACATCAATACAACTGACTTAGACTTTGACTCAGTCAATAAACCACTCCTTTGTTTGGCAACAAGTAGAGTCATTGTTCCAGCAATGACTCTAGTTGGGCCAGACGCACCAAGGCAGGCCTCAACCATGATACTACCTCCACTGTGATTTACAGAAGACCTCAGAAATCTCACCCCCTGGGAATTAAAAAGACTGAGGTTTTGGATCCGGTGCTGACTAACAGAGTGGTAATTTATGAATGTGATGTATTTCCAAATAAAATGACGAAATGAGGGCATTGCTTCAGACGTTCGTAATGAAGAAGGAGTTGAGCTGAAAGGCAAAGCTCTACATTTACTGGTCCTTGTACAGTCTGATGCTCACCTATGGTCGTGAAATAGACAGAAAGAACAAGATCCTAGATCTAAATGGCCAAAATGAGCTCCGTCCATACGGAGGCCAGGCTGAGGAGCTCCGTCATCTGGGGGGAGCACAGAGTAGAGCGGCTGCTCCTAACTGAAAGGAGTTACCAGTAGTTGCAGTGGTTCAGGCATCTAATTAGGTTGCCTTATTTTGACGGTTTCCTGGGAATGTCCCACAGAGTTGATGGAAAGGGAACTGTTGGAGGGATTACAGTATATATTTTCTCTGGCCAGGGAACGCCTTGGGATCCCCCAGGAAGAGCTGGAGAGTGTCACTAAGAGGAGTTATGGTGGGGTTTCTCTCCTGGACCTGTTGCCTCTGTGACCCGACCACGGATAAGTGGTAGAAAATGGAGATAGTATGGTAAGTTCTAAACTGGAACTAAAGTCAACAAATGGTACGGTACTTCAAATGTCATCAGATTGCTCCCTGTGTATTTTTATGATGTTAAACCAAGACAAGTTTCCACAGAAAAATCTTCAAACATAAGACATCACGACACAGTGAACTAACCTGACTTACACCAATTTGTGAGCAGTGTGGGCAAAATAAGTCCCAGCAAGGAAGT